TGTGTGTGTGTGTGTGTGTGTGTGTGTGTGTACTCAGAAAAACCCTGTAATTAAATTGATTTCTTGTGATGGTGACGGTGATTATCGCACACTTAAAACCCAGCCAAGTGATTCGTTCCCTCTTAATTGACAGTTAATATTTGTTAGCTGTGTTACCTGCGCAATACTAGGCCCATGAAACCATTCATATGTTTGTGTATCCGGTTGTACATTGGATACAGCTCTTGAGCCCGTACTTAATGCGGACCCGTTTCATTTTCGTGTCCTGTTTGTGTGTGTGATGTGTGTGTGCGTGTGCATCTTAGGAGCTTTGGGAAATGGATTCTACAAACGTCACACGGTAGACACACATGTCTAAGGCTTCTTTTCTTCTTTTGGCAAAGTGGTGTGTACTCTTGTGTTAACTCAGCGGCTTTGGTATGACGTGGAGACATCTGTAGACTGCTTTCAAAACCAGAATTAAAGTATTGTGAAAATGACCGCTTAATAAATGTTTATTGTAATTTTGCTCTCTGGTTTCCTGAATGTGTTCCGTCCCTTTCAGCCACGTCTTTGGATCTTCCCCAGTTTGGGTCCCGAGCAGTGAGGCTTCTCTCCAGTCTGGGAAGACGTAAACTCCATGACAGATTAGATGTTCGATGCAGAAGCGGTTGGGTCAGGTCAACCCCAACACGCTGAGTTAAGTTTCAAGTTCCAGAAAAACAAGTCTGTTTCTCCCCCCTTCGGATGAGCGCGTCCTGTGCCACACTCAGGACATTGGTGTTTCCCAGGAACAGAAGGAAGCACTGCCCGGTATTGCACCACCCTCACAACGATTGCTGTGTGAGAGCCCATTGTTGCCCCCACTGTGCCAATACACCTCTTCAAGAACCTTCCTCTTTTTCACTGACCGTCCATTTTACCAAACCTGGTCTTCTCCAGGGCCTGACCTCTCCCGATCACGTGTCCACATAAGTGACACACAGGCTCGCCATCCTTGCCTCTAAGGAACATTCTGGTTGTACTTCCGGGACAGATGTGTGTGTTCTTCCGGCAATCCAGGGCACTTTCAATGTTCTTCACCAGCACTGCAATTCAAATGATCGCATCTGTGTTTGGGTGGACCAGAGAAGCAAATCCAGAGACGTGTGTGTGTGTGTGTGTGTAAGAAATTGATATCAAAGAGCAATTGTACATTAAGAAAACATCCCAACCCAGTCCAGATCAAGTCCATAAGTCCGATATTGCCCCATATGTCGATACTAGTCCGTAAACTCTAGACTCACACAGCCATGCGATGATGCTGAATATAGGAAGATCACAGGCGAGTGGGTGGAAAGTCTTGTGGATCCAGTGGTGGTGGGAGCATCTCAATGTTGGTGTGGGTTTCCAGGTGGCTCCTCCAGCTCTAGGGCTATGGCTCCATCTGTGTAGCTCCATGTGGCTTGTCAACAGGAATATGAAGCAGAGAGTGTATCTGGCCTCCAGTGAACTATTTATCTCCTTCACGCCTCCAAATGAGGTCATCAAGCTGTGACCTGATTGACAGGCTAGACTCCACTCCTTCGCAAGTTGACACCAGACGATGTGACAACGATGACGACAGAATCCGTTCCCCTTTGGGTTTCAGTGGCCAGCTGTCACATACACAGGAGGTGGTCAGAAATACCATAGCATGGGTCAGCCGCACCTTAGCCCTCAATGTGGCCCTTTTGCTTTTGGACACTTCTTTAATTTTTCCCCCTTTTTATTAATCATTTTATTGGGGGGGGGCTCTTACAATCTTATGACAATCCATCATTCAATAGTATCAAGCACACTTGAACATATGTTGCCATCAACATTTCCAAAGCATTTTCTACTTGAGCCCTTGGTATCGGCTCCTCTTCCCCCCACCTCCCCACCCCTGTTCCCCATCCTCCTGCCCTTGTGAATCCTCGATCAATTATATATTATTGTTATTTCATGTCTTATACTTCCTTTATCTCCCTTCACCCACATTCCTGTTATTCATCCCCCTGGGCGGTGGGCTGTATATCCAACCTTATGATGGGCTCTCCCTCCTCCCCTGCCATCCCCCTACCCTCATGATACCGCGACTCCCACTACTGGTCCTGAGGGTTTTATCTGTCCTGGATTCCATGTGTCATAACTTTTCTGTGCATGCTTCAGTCTGGCCAGAACTGAAAAGCAGGACTGGGGTCATGATAGTGGGGGTGTGGGAACCTCAAGGAACCAGAGGAATGTTGTTTCATCAGTGCTATACTGCACCCTGGTTGACTCATTTCTTCCTGTGACCCTTCTGTGAGGGGATGTCCTA